ATAGCAGTGTGTAATTAAAAACCATCATCTACAATGTAATAAAATATTATATATCTATTTTTTATTTGGTAAATATAAATAACTTGTTGATCGCAGATTGTAGCAGTATATTTTTGAACACTTTTTCTACTGGTCATAATTTTGTTGTGACAAGTGATGCAATTGAATGAAAAGGGAGCAAAATTAGAGTAATTATTATCACAAGTCAAGGATAATAATTATACACTTTGCTTTCTCTTTTCGTTATTTCAGCTTGTTCTCTTCACTATTTGTTCTTATAAATCATCCAAGTAGAATTACAATAATTAGTTTTAAACATAACCAAACCAGATACTAAATAGTATTTATTAACTGAAAATAAATATTGCCATGAAAAGATATTAACAGACATTAATATTATATTAAATTATTTTTGTACTTAGGATACCCAACAGTTCATTCCACAATATAATTAGTTACCTACTTATTCCAACAAAATAATATTAATAACTTTAATTACTTATTATAAATAGCTGGTAATATTAGAATTTGGTTCAAAAAAGAACAGAACCCACAACATATGAGACAAATTTTTATCATCTATCAAAGTACATGTGAGCTAACATTAAATAAACCAAAACAATTTGAACAAACAAGAAAAACACATTGACTCAAGAAAAATGTTCTGTTTTACTGTGGTTTGCCAAAATTATTTGCAAGTCAGAGCTCTCTTTTCAAAATCTTTAGTCTCTGACAAGATACATACTGTGTTATGAACTGATCAAAATGGCTTCAGTACTAATGTGAGGTACAAAGCAACATTTATCTTTTTTATATTAACCACATTATTTTGTAAAAAAAGAAAATATAATGTTAAAAAAAAGTTCTTGGTGTGAAGCAAGCCAGATGCATAATACTTATTATATAAAACTGTTTTCATGTGATCATGTTTCATTTGCGACAGAAGAAAGTTTTGGAAGTAACCTGCCTCTTACATAAGCTTAGTGACTGGGTTAAGCTTACTGAGTGAGAAGGCAGGTTGGGCAGGGAAATACTTGGTTTCAGGTCAGAACACACTGTGAAGACTGTGGAAAATAACAAGGAGGCAAATATTTTCCTTCCTGACCTGACTCATTCAAAAGCATAAATCATTTCAACATCACCAGAGTTTGACTGTTTTTTAAAAGTAGTAAATGTGTCATAGTGAATGTCCTCAATTGTGTGCATTAAACAAATTCATTTGCCAACAAAAGCAGGGCCAGATAGCTACTTTTTTAGAACGGCTAATGTCATCCTCTTTGGACCTGATGTCAGCTACTGTTATTGAAAATATAAAGCATGGCCATGAATGTGTTATCACTGACAATTTTTTATCTCAAGACAATGGTATCCTGCTTCCAGTACACTAGTATTGTACTTTGTTTGACTTTCCTGCATAAAAGTACTTTTTCTGCATACAAGCAATTTCAATTCTTATATCAAAACTATTTTCATTCTCCAGCTAAACCTTGCCATTATAACATTAATACTATAAATCAGCTTAGTTAGCAGTGGACAGACTCTTTATATTCAACTGACTACATTTGCAAACAAATATTCTGAAATTAAAAATACCACGCTGCAGTTGGAATGACAATTTATTATTTATTTATTAAAATATGTTAGAATGAAAAATAATAAAAAAATACTAGTATGAATTTGTTGCAGCTGATAATTTTTACCAAAAAACCTAGTGTGATACCCCACTGAAGGGCTATGAACATAACATTCAATATGAGACAGTCATAACTTGTACCTTAACTGAAACTGTTCAATGTAACAACAACAGTACTGTGACAAGATCTTGAGTGAGCCAGGATGGTCTTTTCCACAATGAAAGTCATATGAATGTATAGCAGTGACCCTTAAAACTTATTGGAGAGAGCAAAATTACAAAATATAATTTTCAGTGAAGTGGTTTTAACTTTGTTTTTCAAGAAAGTAACAAGCTCATAGGTCCATGTAACTAATACTGTAATGTCACTAAGCATTAAATATCTTTTTATTCTGCTGTCTCTATCAAAATAGACAAGAATCAATTGAAAAATATATTATTTAACTACTGGTAATTACTTTTGTGTGATTACAAGAGCACAGCAACACCTAACACAGACATCTGTTGTCACTACCATTGTTCTGAAAGAGTAAACCAGCTTGCCACCGACGGCAATAAAAAGGAAGACGTGATGACAGAAATTTATCACAAGGAAAATGGGACCCCCTGTCATGCATTTCTGTTCATAGAGAAAATTATTTTCTGTGCCAATGTT